CCCTTCTGCTACAATGGGAGGAGGATCACCTGTTGTCATTGAGAGGAGAGTATCTTAAGGGTTGATTGGCTGAGCTCTTGTCTGGATCAGGGAGAGCGGGGGTTAAACTCACTGATATTCCAGATAGTGGTCCAGAGCTTTGGCACACTGTGGGTGGTTGCCTTTGCAGAGAATCGCAAACTCCTGAAATTCATGCCAAGATTTTGGACGAAGAAGATGGTAGCCTGCAATGCTGACAATCACCGGGCAAGGGTGTTGTATTACCTTTCTGGCAGTGGTGCTATTTTCCAGGGTGTTGAGGAAGGTAACGATGGAAAGAGTATGTAATATGAGCTATTTCTGTGTTTGCATGGCTACAACTTTTTTCTGTAATTGAAATGTGATTTGAAAAATAAAATATAAATATGTATTCCTGCCTGAAGGGATCACAAATAAAGCCAACATTTGCTATGTGTGTTAATTAAACATATGATACTGTGGTGTAACACATCAGAAACAGTATGTTTATAGACCTATAATCATGTAGTATATTACATAAAAAGTGATTTATCTAGGCAATCCATAAATCCATTTCATTTAATTACAAATGTTTAGTTGAATGACCAAACAGAGCATTTCTAGTATAAAGAATTGCAGCCTTCCTACCTCCTGCCCCTCTAGTGGACTTCTCACCATATTTTGTAGAATGTGTTGGGGAAATAATCAACAAAGTTGTCATTCTGGTAAGTATTTGGCATAAAAAGCAGCCATCAACAATTTATGCATCTGGAAAATTTATGGGAACAGCAGGTAGGATACTAATAGATATTGTTTAATTATCATTTAGTTTTGCCACAAGCTGAATAACAACACTTAGGGTCAGACTTCAGGTTAAGATCTAAAAGGTTATTGAATTTTAAATGACAGAAGAACAGCTGTTACAGAAATAACATTATACTGTAACAACACCAGTGAAATCATTAACAATCTGTGAACTGCATTTGAATCCTTCTTTCCCCTATTTATTATTTGGGAGACATTTGTTTTAGGGTTTTATGACATTTCTGTTAAATTATTAAATTGTGCCACTAGGCATTTTCCCATTTATGCAAATTATGCAAACTCCTCTTTTTTTGCCTCATTTTTTAAAACTGAGAGCTGAGTGGACTGTACTAATTTGAAAAGTGTTAACAATCCAAATATAGTAGAGCCTTTCTCCTCCTTAGCAATTGTTCTTGTGCAATTATTGTTATCTTGGCTTATGCTTATTTTCTGACTGTACTGTTTCCTTATGCTGACTTTAGCTATTCCTCATAGTACTCCTATTCTTTTTCTTTTGATCTCTATCACCTTAGCTTGTAAATATGTGGACAGGAATTCTTTTGATATTTTTATTTATTGAAAAGTGCTCTATGATCTTCTGTTGAAAACATTTGCCCTTTTTTAAAAAAAAAAAAAATCAGATATACAGACAACAAGTTTTCTAAGCAGTGGTGCCTCAACTATGGAATGCCCTCCTTACAGAACAATGCTCTGCTGAGGGGTCATGGGCTGGGGATATGGATGGATATGCACACATGTGTAACCTCCCCCCAACACTCCTCCAATCTTTGTTCATTTCTGTGATGGAGAGAGCAACCTTCTTGTTATTGTTGTTTTGTACCTTCAAGTGGTTTCTGACTTATGGTGACCCTATCATGGGGTTTTCTTAGCAAGATTTGTTCAGAGGGGTTTTTCCTTTGCCTTTCTTGGAGGCTGAGAGTTTGACATGCCCAAAGTCACACAGTAGGTTTCCTAGCATCCAGAGTTGTACCCAACGCTCAAACCACTACACCACATTTTATCCACAAAGTGGCAAGAGTAATCTATATAAGGATCCTCAGGAGAGGGAAGGGAGACCCCCATCTCAGAGGAATCCTGAAAAAGATAACTCTTGCAGTGCTGTTAACAATACAGTAGTGGAGAAAGAGCAATCTGTATGAAATCAGCAGAATATTAACAGAGATGGAGAGAAGGAACTTAATGGCAGTTGAAGTATCACAGGTTCTGCAAGGGGACCTTAACCTGTACACCATTGCCAAAAAAGCTTGCCTAGCACCTATGTTGCAACCTTTCTAGTGTCAGGTTAAAACCTCATTGTTCATCAATACATTTTAATTTGTGTGTGTTTTAAGAAGTAAATGGCTTTAGCTATTGTTATACTGTTGTACTTTATGTTGGAATTTCATAGATCATATACAGCCCTGGAGTTCTGAACAGAACTGTAACAACAACAATAACAACAACAATTTCTTACTTGCCTGTCCCCATGGATCAAGACAGGAAACAACAATTGTAGTATTAAGTTATTTTCAATACATAAATATCTATTTATATATACTTCATATTAAGGACTCCAGAAATATAGGAGGAGAGGAAGGATTGATTTCGGGTTTTGGTGCTGCAATTCTGCTGGGTGTATCATTCTTTGTTTTTTTAATTGGCAAACATTGTAGAAACAACTCAAATATTGAGCAATCCTTACAGAGGATTTTTCCTGAGAGAAACAAAGGCTTGACTGAGATGTTAAAGATGGCTGTGTGGCCATTCTTATAGTTTCGGTATATAAGGATAATCTTTTGATATTTACCACTGATTACTTGTCCAAATAGCTCCTCTGGTGTATCCCCAAAAAATGGTACACATCCAACAAGAAACTCATAAAGAATAATTCCCATAGACCACCAGTCCACTGGCTTGCCATAACCTTGCCTCAGAATTACTTCTGGAGCTATATATTCTGGTGTGCCACAGACCTAAAATGAGAAGAACAACAAAGAAAATGTATTATATGTTTGTGTATGAATTTCTCGGGTGGTTTCTATCAATGTATTACAAAAACTATGGTTAAAAATTAAAAAAATTCTCTTGACATTTGTATACTGCTGAATATATTTTGCACATTCTATTGAAAGTTCTCATCGAGATTTATGAAAAAGAATGATTCATAGAAGCTGTTTGCTAATATAAAGTAATAGTACACTAACATCTTCATTTTTTTTCTTCCTGTTTGCCTGATGAAGAAGCCAGTGTGACTTCAAAAGCTTGCAACATGTAATTGTGCATTTTGGTTCGCCCAATGAAGATATTATTGTTTGGATGTTATCGAATTAACATATATTTATATTAAACACAATTGATTTATTCTTGTTTTAACATGAAAACTTAAATGGCTTTACCTTAAGTAACTCTTACAGTGAACAGATTGTAGGCAAACGGTAATGAGGCATGCTTAAAGGGAAATGGACCATAGCTAGGTTTTTTAGCACTCTTGATTGTACAATGCATCATGAGTTCCACAAGTACTCTGCTGAGACTCCTGAATTCTTTATAAAAACAACTTTCCATTTGTCTTTCTCACAATTTCACTTGCTCACAATTACATCATTTATCTTGCTAATAGACCATAATGGTAGAAAAGAAGTCTGGAACAATTTGCAATCCTACAGTAAAGGTAATGCTTACACAGAGATTTGCAATACCATTGTAGAAATAAAGAAGTATCTTTAATATTTTCACAATCCATCTAGTTTTACACTGTTACTCAAACATGTACTGATGATGCCTTACCTGTTTATCCAGAAACTCTCTGGCATCCTTTTCAATGTGACCCTCATATAAATTGGTGGTCATGCTCATGAGCCCAACCTTGGATAGCCCAAAATCTGTTAACTTTATGTGTCCCATGGATGTTACCAATAAGCTGCAAATATGGATGACAGTAAACTACTATTATGAACTATTGCAACAGGATTACATTTTCACTGAACCATGTAATTTTAATCCTACACACAATTTCTTGCCTACAAGCATCATGGAATATATTCAATAAATGATTAAGACAACTGGCATAGGGCACAACATTAAATGGAGACCTTAACATTTTCCCAGGTTGAGGCCCATCCATTGCACTCTGGGTGTACTGACTCATGTGATTTCCTCATATCTGAGAATTCTGACTAGATAATTTGATGTACAAAAAAAATCAAGAGGGCATTCTCAGGGTGCATCTACACTATAGAAATAACTGTACTTTGACACTACTTTAAGGGCTATGGCTCCATTCCTATGAAATGCTGGGATCTGTAGTTTTACAACAAATCTTTAACCTTCACTGCCAAAGAATGAAAGTGCCTCACAAAACTACAAATCCCAGAATTCTGTAGTATGGAGCTAAGGCATAAAGTGGTTTTATTTTTTAATCTTATTTTTACTTTTGCATCTCCTGGATTTTTAATGATGTGTTAAAATGATAAGATTTTAGAACTGAAAGTGGGGTATTGAGTAGTTCTTTTTAAACTTAAAATTTTGAAATTTTAAAACTTAATAAGTTTAAAAGTGTGACTAATCTCTAAAGTATATACAATTTAGGAAGCCATTACATTAGTCTTCCTACCATATCTCTTAGCCTATTAAGATTATATTTATTTATTGAACATGTTTTTATCATGCCTAATATCCAAAGATCTCAGGGTGATGTGCAAAACAATTGAGTTAAACAATTTAAAATGTGAAATAATGTTTAAAAAATTACAGTCTGAAAACACATTAAATTATTTAACCAATTAAAACAAGTTAAATAGTTAAAACATGTATGTGAACAAACTGCAATTCATTATGTATAATGGACATATGATGCACGTATAATATCATTAAACCCCCAAAGGTTTTCAGGAAAAATACTGTTTTAACTTGGCACCAAAGTGAAGCCAATGTGGGTGCCAATTAGATTTTAGTAATTTAATAATTAGAATGGCAGGAAACAGAAGACCCTTTACTGTTTCTTCACACAAAGTATTGCCCTCCCTGATGGGACACAAATGAGAGACCCTCCAGTAGACCTCAACTGTCAGGCAGGCACATATATAAAGCTTCTTCAAGTACAGAGGTCTCATACCTCTTAGGACTTTGAATGTTATCCCCAGCACCTTCAATTCAGACTAAAACAGTATTGACAGGAAGTAACAATATAATAATAGAGAGCCAGCATGGATAAGTGGTTTGAGCATTAGACTATGGCTCTGGAGACCAGGGTTCAAATTCCTGTTCGGCCATGGAAACCCTCTGGGCAAGTCAGATTCTCTCAGACTCAGGAAGGCAAAAGCAACTGCCCTCTGAACAAATCTCACAAAGAAAACCCTGTGATATGTTCAGTTTTCAAAAACTACAAAAAAGAAGCAGTAGAAACTGTTCTTGCTTTTCCTATTTTAGAATGACTTTAAAAAAAACTTTTTTAAAGCAAAACACAATGGTACCCTTCTTACCTACTGTTTATTGTACAAAATAAAACTGTGGGCACAGCAGACATACTTATTAAAAGCATTTTTTTGCTTTTTTTTTTTTTTTTTTTTTTTTTTTTTTTTGAAAATTTGTTTTAGCAATGCTCTATAAACCCATTGGGTGAATCTGGGCAAGTCACATTCTCTCAGCTTCACAGGATGGCAGTGGCAACCTCCCACTGAAGAAAACTGCCTCCCTGATAGGTTCATCTTAGGGTTGCCATAAGTCGGATACAACTTGAAGGCACACAACAAAAACAACAATAACATATAAAATAATTCACATTTGAGGAAAATTAAAGATTCAAATCTTAATAGGACAATCTACAAATGTTTTCATTTGATATTTAAAAGGGTTTATCCAGAGTCCAATACTGTACAAACACAACAACTTTTCCCTCAACTGCCAAATCACACTATCCACCACTGCAAAATATTCCTAAAACTCAGTACAATCGCCCCTCCATTTTCATGGACTTCAAGTCCGTGGTCTTGATTATTCACAGAGGGGTGAGCTCCATTAAATTAAATGGCGCGCATACAGGAGTGTGGGCCCATTCAAGCCGACGAGGCTTGATTATTTGCGAGTTTCCGTTTTTGCACAAAGGGGTCTTGAACGGATCCCCCACAAAAATGGAGGGGCTACTGTATTGCTAAACATAACCCTACATAATGGAATAACCCTACATAATCATTACGACTGCAGTTCACAATACATTTAAGTTATGATTGTATGATTGCATTATGAATTCTAAACTTATGTGGTAAAACCAAACTAAACTCTTGTTCTTAGAGCAGTGTTGGCGAACCTATGCCATGCGTGCCATAGATGGCACACGGAGTCATTTTCTCTGGCATGCAGAGCAGGGAAGAGGAGGAAAAGGCATGCATCTGTTCCTCCTCCTTCCAGCCGTCCCTGGCCTTCAGCTGCCTCCAGAGACTTCTCCCCTCCCACACACCTTCCTGGGCTTTTAGCTGTTCCTCCTCTCAGACCTTCAGCTATCTTCAAAGTGGCAGCTAAAAGCCCAGGAAGGTGTGTGGGGAGGGGAGAAGTCCCATCCTGGAAGTCCTGCCTCCGGCATGGGATAACACCCAGTGCCAGAAGGCCGTTTAGTTTGGGCACTCAGTACCTAAAAGGTTCACCATCACTGGCCTAGAGCTTCAAATTCTACATGCCTAATTTTCAGGCAATTACTGTCTTGTAGCTATTCTATATACATACTTATCTGGTTTCAAATCCCTGTGTACTATTCCATAGTTGTGGAGATATTCCAATGCCAAAACTGTCTCTGCAAAGTACATCCTGGCCATGTCTACAGGCAGAGGACCCATGTTTTTCATTAAAGTAGCACAGTCTCCACCTAAAACAAAACACATGTTAATACAGATTAAAAGACCAGCAAAGGGTGGTTCAAAGTGCAGACTGGCATTTGCAACTATATCTAAAGGCATCTTAGACAAAAAAATGGAAACATTGTAAGGAATATTAAGAGTGCACCATGGTCTACTCCATTCTGCAACTTGAGGAACATTATTCATTCCAAGGTGGGCAGCTGTGACCAATATTTGACATTAGTTGTGTACACACTGCGGAAGGAGAATCCAGTGTTAACACATTGCATTCATACTCATTTTTCACTCTTACTTTACAATAGGCTCGGATTGGATGCAATAAACTTTACCTTCTACATATTCCATGACCATACATAAATGGCGTCTGGTTTCAAAAGAACAATACATGCTGACTACAAATGGATTTTCTGCGAATGTCAGGATATCACGCTCAACAAATGCCTGCTGAATCTGGTTTCGAAGAATGAGATTCTGTTTGTTAATCTTCTTCATGGCAAACCTCTGTCTGGTTTCCTTATGCCGTACTAAATAAACAGCACTTTAAAAAAAGGAAGAGAGTGAACATGAATGAGAGTTATGTTTTTTTAACTGACATACAAGTATTATCCTAGCAGGATTGTACATATGAATGGTGATTCCAGAATTCAGAGTATCAGTCCATTCTGCCAACTCAGCTAATTAATTCACCAGTGATAAATACAATTACAAAAAATCAAAATATTTTTAGTTGCATTTCTTAAAGTTTTTAAGACATATAAATCTTATATGACAAAATGATATAATGACTCTTGAGACTGCTTATTCTGGACATCGCATTATACTTATGAATCAGAATCTGCTTTTGACTTCTCAGGATGATGTCATATGTGAGGAACAAAGAAGAGAGGATGAGTGCTTTATTATCAGACAATTCCTTTTTGCCAGTTTATCACGAGTCTGACAAGCAGTGGCCGAGTCAATCTAGAGTTACCTGCATGATTCGCTTCTGATTAAGTCTGACACACAAAAAATAGGTTTATTGTAGTCTAGGGTGATAAAGAAAACAGAGTTCATATGACAAAAAAGTGGTAAATGGGCAGAGCTGACATTATTGCAATGAAGAAGAGCTTCAAAAGGCATTATATCACTGTAACTGTATTACTTCTTGAGGAAATTGTACAACCATTTACATCGGGCATGAAAATCATGTAATTCTCCAGATGCTGGCTGCAATACCCAGCATTCCTCAGCACTGGTGGTGCTGACATGAGGTGATGGGAGTTGCAATCCAATAACATATACAGGACTTCATGATTCCTGTCTTAATTTACATTGTCATTTACATTTCAGCCAACAGCTCAGGGACATTTTAATCTATTATCTGACAAGATACGAATTGGAAAGGGGGCCAAGGGGGGGCAGAAAAACAAAGATAGCTGTCTTATGTCTTTTTGTACATACACACAGGTTTTTTTTAAAAAAAATGCCAAAAGCCTGCTTGATTATTAGTATGCACCAGTGATTGTTTTATCTTGATCTTCCTAGTCCCTCTTTACAAACATAAAATTCTCCCTGCACCATCTCCCAGAGGAGGAAGCAGAAGAGATAAGAGGGGAAACAGCAAGGATTCTGTGTAAGGCAAAACCACCACCCAGCACATAACCAAAAAAGAAAGAAAAGCCATCAAGGATCTCAATTTGGACCCAGAAATCATCATTCTCCCAGAAGACAAAGGCAATGCTATGGTACTCATGGAAACAGAACAATACAAACAAAAAATCAAGGAACTCCTGGATCCTGCAAAAAACTGAAACAAGATCCAACCAACAAAACCACCAGGAGCACCTTGATCAAGAATTGTAGGGACTGCTCTGCAGTAGTTCCGTTCCTTTCTCTCAGGTAGATCCCAGAGGG